GACCATTTTCCATTTGAAACCGTATAAATATATTTTTTTATTACATTTTAAACCGTATAAATATATTTTTTTTGTTTAAAAACCACATTTTTATTTAAATACAAGGTGTTTCTTTTGTTTTGTTTTGTTTTTTTTTTTTTTTTGTTTTTTTTTTTTTTGTTTTTTTTTTACATTCAAAGTATAATGTATAAATATGCATTAGTTATATCATGAGAATCAAACTAACCATAAGCTTCTAATAAGATGTGAAAATTTCAGGGGTTGCAAACTTGACATCCGGGTTTTAATCGACTACACGCCTCCAAACCTACAAACTCATTTTAAAATTGTGTATTTAATATAAAATACGGTTTTATATAACTAATACATATTTATACATAAAATTATGGTTTGAATGTAAAAGAAAAATTGTATTTATACAAAACTATGGTTTTTAATTGAAATGGAAAATGGTCAAAATTGAACAAAAATTGATAAATAATATTCGATTTGGAACAAAAAAAACATAGTGTCAAAATTGAAAGAAATAATTAAACTTAGTGTCAATATCGAAAAAAATGAAAACTTACTGTTTTCTGTGGAAAAAAAATTCAATTTTGACACGTCAGCATATCATGTCAGCATGCCACATCATCAAAACTGACACGTCAGCATGTAACCTGGTTAACCGGTCAAGTGGTCAGAATTGTAACAAATTGGAAAACACAGTGTCAAATTTGAGACAAAAAAAAACACGGTGTCAAATTAGAATTTTGATGTAAACGGAGTGGTTTTTTATGCTATTTACCCAAGACATTACTATTATTCTTTGCAAGCTTAGTTAATCCATATGGTAATGTTGGTATTGACTTCAAGAGCCTCGTTTTTTTATCTGCCCCGGGCCTCAAATTTGCTTGGACCGACCCCGACAATATGTACCCTGAAACAAGTAATCAAAAACATATCAATGAGCAATGAGCAAACAACAAATTTGGACTTGTCTTTAATAACGAGAATGAATTTCAATGAAGCCATAGAAGTCGCGGACTATACTTCATTCTCTGCAATTTTCTTGATTGAGAATCACTTGTGAATTGGCAATCGTTGTCACCCAATTGCGAATCACTATTTGATTTCATTATCAAACGCTATGCTATGATACTGATTTGTTAGATTTGCAAAAGTGATGGGTGTTCATTATTTAATCAAAAAAACTGACATTATATTAGACCAATGAGGTAGGTTATATCGATTAGTAAGTTAAAGAAATTTGACCATTAATTAATATTCAGAGAAAAAAAAATAGTCATCAAAAAATACTTTATTTATAAGTAAAAATATGTACAAAAAAGTAAAAATAGACATTTTTAAACAAATTATATAAGATTAATGGTAAAATATATACAAAAAAAAAATAATGATAAAATATGTACAAAAAAGTAAATAGTAAAATATGTACAAAAAAATTAATGGTAAAATGTGTATACCATCAACACTAAAATTCTTTTCGTCTGCCATGTATGATCAATGGCGGACCTATGTAGTGTCTGGGTCCCGGGCCACTACTCCGATTCAGCCTCATGGTGTAAATTTTTTTCTTTTGTTTTTTTATTAGGTGCAACGTCTTCGAAATATAAGCGTCATTATTATTTTTTTTGGTGTCACCACTATTCAAACGTTCTACGTACGTATGATGACACATGTCCAGAGACGAAACACGGTTATTAAAATCATGGGGGCCAGAACCAATTTCAAAAGATCATATTAACGTGTTTATTTTGGTTCAAAATTATGAAATATCAAACATCTATACAAGACAACTAATTAAGTATATTCTTACATCATTGATTACAGTGAAACGCATTTTCCGTTTTATTTTGAAACCAGATTTTAACAAGGCTCATTCCGAACATGACTTCTTTATTATTGTAGTAGAAACTCAAACTGAAAAAAAATGAAAAAAATAATAAAATAAAATTAAAAATAAGATATTTTTCAACAATTGACACATTTTTGAAATAGATGTCAAATTGTCAATTGTTTATAATATTAATATACACATTGAACTTCCCATGGAATTATTTCAATTTTTAATAGCGTTAACCAATATTCTATTTATAGGTTATAAAAATCTATTCTAATAAATAAAGATTTTTTTTTGTCATATGTCACATTCTTATTCATTTTGCCACATGTAATTTTATTGTTATTTTAAATTATTTTTTATTCTACATGTCATTTTATGGTTTTTTTTATTTTATTAAATTCCACATATTATTTAAATCTAATAATAAATGCATATTAATTTCATTAATGGACTTTCCTTCTAATTTCAAAATTACTAAATTAAAGTTTTATTAATTTATTTTATTTATTTATCTAAATTATTTGTTTAAATTTAAAAGAGAAAAAAAACACTTTTATTTTTATAATTTAATATTTTTTTCACTTTTCTTATAAATTCAAACTTCTCAAATATTTTGAATTTTATATTTAAAATTTCTTTTAAATCAACCCATGTTATACATGGGTCTCACACCTAGTATATGAATAAAATTAGAATTTAAATATTTCAATCTCCAAGTCAAATACAAAAAAAAAAAAAAAAGTGGTAATTCTTTTCGTTAGGACCAACTTCATCCAAGTAGTTGTATTTATAGCATATATTTTTTGTTCGCTCTTTAAGTTTTAAATTAAAATTAATAAACTATTACAAAAAATTATGACGATGTCAAGGAGATGTTAGTGGGATGAGTTATGTATGTTTTGTAAAGTATTTGGTAGTTTATTGTCATCGGATGAGGGGTACATTATATTGAGTATTCAAAAAGTACATCTAGTTTTTTTTTCTTTTTTGGTAAGTTTTATGGCTGGTGGTATGGGCCGGTCACATCTTTCGTATCATTTTTTTGTCACATCACATGTCATGTTATTCTCCATACCATTTCATGGTCACCACACACCACACCATATTTTTATTGGTTTTAAAATAAAAAATAAATCTTTCTCTTTTCTCCACCGGCATTGAGATGCCTCAAGCAGTCCACGAGAAGCAACGAGGTGTTATGGGATCGTGTTTCTATAGGCTCCATATCGTTAAGGATGGTCAGGTCGGCCTCTCAATGTCATTATCTAGCTCATACCCAATAGTCTAATATTCTCATGAAGTCAATATACTTGGTGGTGGGCTGCACCTAAAAGACAAACTTTGTGTTGGCTACGAACATTAAGATATATTTGGATATGCAAGTAGTTACTCCAAAAAAAAGAAAAAAAAAACTACTCCCAAATTAGAAAAACAGATATACATAAAAGGAAGTTAGGCCCTATGTTCCGATTTCCCATAAACACTAAAATAAAAGGAGGGTTAATAATCTCACATAACAAAAAGTCATTGTTTCATATTTAAACATATTTAAACAAACGGGCAATAAATCGCAACGCTAACATCTTTTAGATGGAAAATTCAAATTCTTTTACAACATCCATAGATCTCAAGGTCTTAACATTACTATGTATGACTAGTTGCGTCTGAAGCAAGGAAACCAACTTATATCAAACACAAATTATACAAAAACATGTTGATTTTTCATGTATATTTTTTCATGTTTTGTTACTTTGCATGAATCATTTTTCAAGCGGCATGCACCATGGTGAAACACCCACTCCTCAGGCTCGCAAAAGAGGAACGCCCTATTAAATCCATACATGTGTGTTTTCTTCCTACCCACTCAAAAAACAAAAAAAAATATTGACCTATCTTCCAACGGATAGGTCAAAAAGTTCATAAGTGTCTCTTTCTTGGTAGAAACATTGATGTGCCTAAATACGTCAAAAAGAACATCCATAATTATATCATGTCGGTAATTGAATCGTGAGAGCTCTCTACAATGTACTAAATGCTCTCCAAAATAGTCCAAGCAAGCCTTTCGACAAATTCAACATACCTCATCAACCAAAAATAATCAAATCATGAGACAATACTTAATAATCGTACGATATTCCACAACTCCATCTATAGGGATAGTCAAAAGAAAATCTAACGTATGTTGTGCTCATGTTGTGCTCATGGATACTCAAAAGTTACTTTGTGTCTAACAATCGTGTCAATGTGTTGTTCCGTATCTAGTCACTTTTACGACAATGCATGTTGGACTTTAGGAGGTGTCATTGTTAGTGAAACCACGAAAGTCAAAGCTTGGAATCGTATCACAAAGACAAGCCAAAACAAAAACATAATAAGAATCCATATCATATAGGTCACTATCTTGTAAGATGTGGTCTTATAACACCTAATATTAGACCCTTGAGGCCATAAAAGCATAAAAGGAAACCTCTACAAACCACAAAACCTAATGGTAAAGAAGCAAGTCGCTACTTGATGTCTCCAAAGAAAAATGTTTCACAAACCTAAAACCATCATGTGGTCAATCGACTCGCGTAATCATTGTCAAAGAAAAATGGCATCTCCTCAATCTGTACGGGTTGACATGTCCTTAGGCCAAGAAATGTTTGACAATACCCATACAAGATCGAAGCAAAAGAAACTCTAAATGTCACTTAATTGTAGAAGAATGTGCAACAAATTAAGGCAACTCCATCTACAAGCTTAAAAGGATGAGAAATCATCACTTTCATGTTTTGAGTAGCCAAAGGATGTGTATACCTTCTACAAGCTCACCTTGCAACACTTAGAAAAAGGGTAACCCGTATCACATCAACACCCTATATGACTATCATTTAGAGCTTATCCAAAGCTAAACCACAACCAGTTTCAAATTTTGAAACACAAACAACATAAAAAACATAAAACTTGACTTTGAAATAGATGATGATTCCAGCATATCAAAATTATAGCATGTAAAAGTGTATGCAAAAGATGAAAGCAAAAGATTTAAGTGAGAATATAATAAGCACACAATTGAATTGATCAAATCTGGAAACCCTCAACCACCTGAAAGAAGGTGCAGCACAAGTATAGTATAGTTGGTGGTGGTGGGGAAGTAAATCACAAAATTCTCCCCCCGTAGTATCAACTATCAAGTATCAACAAAACATAATAAATCAAGATCCACAATTATAATGGTCCAAACAAAAGTAAATCTTTAAATCCAACAAACCCATACTACCACTGTTTAAAGTCTCCTCATCATAATAATAATTCTATCTTTTTTATTAAAGTTTTTCCTCCTTTTTTTGTTCTTTTTTAAAATCAGTCCATTTGCCTCTCTCAAAACGTCATCATATCATATGATCATCAAGAACCGAACTTCTCAAAATGTTTGAATTTTTAGTTAAAAGGTTTGGTATAAGTTTCAAGCCATTGAACCTCCATGAGTGGTGAACTTTTCCTGAGAAGTTGCAAGATGAACACCCTGAAGCTGTGACACCAACTCTTCATTATCATTTGAAGATCTTCCAACAGCAGCTTGAGGACTTGATGGACCTCCTACAGGCATCATCCACTTCATCCAATCATTTCGCCTCCGTATCTTCTCACCCTACATCAAAATCATTCAACTACTTTCACTTTCTAAATTAACATATTTAAATTACTACAAAGTAAAAGAAATCCAATTAATGGGATTAAAATATTATGATAAAAGGTACCTGCACTTCCACAACTGTCGAACTTCGCATAGCATCTAATATTAGTTGAATGTTATCTGTCAAATAAGAAACCTGTAATACAACAAAAGATATTAGAACTATATAACAAAATCATTGTTTTTTTAGCAAAAAAAAATAAACTAACTTTTTTGAAGCCTGCTATTAAGCTAGCAGGAACCCAGCCCTGTTCATCCATGTTTCTTCGCAAGTATGTATCTCTCACCAAGTTCTCATTACTACAATGAAACATTTAAACAACAAACTTGATAGTAATCTAAACAAACCTAATCTACATTTTTTTAAAATGAGGTTACCTGAAATAATAATCGATTTGGGTCACAATCTTAGCATGCAATTGGGGATCCGGAACAGCAAAGTACATTGAAGGTGCTAATGGAGTAACAAAAGGCATGCCTCTAAGGGACTCTGGTGGTGGTGCATATGGAACATAAATTACAGGAGATGTCGGATCTGCAACACGATGTAAACATCATACAGAACCACAAACTTTATAGAATGATAATGTAAATACTGTTTGATTTGATTTTGATAATGGAAAAACTGAACTCACCAGGGTACATCATGTTGTTGCCAAAAGGCTGCACTTGAACAGGCATTTGTGGAGAGATAAATGGAGCAGAGGTATGTACAGAAGGTCGCATGTAACCACCACCTCTGGAAAACCCTCTTGGAGATTGCACATGTGAATCTCTGTTATTAAAGCTTCTACTATGTTGATTCCATTCCTGGTGATTATTACCACGATCATGGTCTCGTTTCCCTCCATAGTTGTGATTATGTTGTCCACCATTGCCTCTTCTGAATGAACCCCGGTGGTGATTGTGATCGTTGCCACTGTGAGGTTGTGATCCAAAGCCTCCTTTTTGTGAATCTTTATGTGTGACTGTGTGCTCTCTTGGAGAAGGTTGTTGTTGGTCTGCAACAAGACCTGGTTTCCCAGATGTGTTATTGGGTGTTTGTGTTTCCACTGAATCTTGGCTTGTTGGTGGTGGCTGAGAAACCACCCCATTTGCAGTAGAGTTGCCACCGCCTCGCTTCATGGACCTTTGCCTTGTTGGTGCCACATGGTTTGGAAGTGAAGTGGAATTTGCATTGTTAGCACTTGACTGTTTATGTGGTGAAGATGAATTTCCAGTTGCCTACATTGTAACATATACACACATAAGATGAATTGTAACTGTATATTGTAAGATTTGGATATGTATGGGTTTGAGAACTTCCTGTGTTTGAAACTTAGAAAGTTTTATAAAGCCTAAACACGGTTGAATTCAAAGACAAAGTTTTATCTATATACATTGGTGAGATTATCAAGGTATACATTCGGGAGGCTCAATTTGCCAAATTTCATCGGACGAAACAGTCAATTAGGTTATTATCGATAGATCATAGATGTAGGGTGTGCAGGACAACTGTGGTATTACCTGTAATGCAGGTGGCCAGGGGCCATCTGAAAGGGCTTTTAAGGACTCCGATGAAGAGGATTTAAGGGAAGCTTTAGTGGATTCACCTAGCGCAGGCCAAGCCGTACCCATGACTGGACTGACGACCTCAACAACTCCATTTGATTTTGATGGTGTATTCCACACAGGCTTCTTAGACGCGTTATTACCGCCGCTGTTATCAGAACCATCAGGCTGACCCTCAGTACCCGAATCATCCGGAGAGCTGACCGCCTCCTGAACCACCTTAGACGGAGACCAATCAGGAGAAGAGTGACCAACATGCTCCTGAACCGATGAACGCGACGGTGATACCGGAGCAGAACCAACCGTCGCCACCACAACCGGAGAAATCACTTCTGACTCGCCGCCTCCGCCGCCACGGCGAACAATCTGACTCCACGGAGACGAGGAAACCCCCCGCTGCGAAGTAGGGCTGTTAAGCCCGCCGTCACCAGATTGAACGTTCGTGGCAGCCATAGGGTTTTTATTGGAACACAAACTTCAAATTCAATCTGTTTCGAATACGATTGATTTATTCAGATTCAAATTAGGATTCTAGGTCGATAAGTTGATCAACGATGTAGTTTATATAAAACCAAAACCCAAAAACACGATCAAAATTGGGGGATAAAAGGGAAATGAAATCCGAACAACTAATTAACGGAGAATGCTATGCTTAGGGTTTGATGTTCCAAAGATTATTGCTTCGACGGATCACAAGAGGATCCGATCGCCGCTATCACACACAGCACGAAGGCTGAAGTTCAGACGCACAGAGAAAATACGCACAAATGGTAACGGAGCTGTGTCTCTATCTGATATCTATATCTCTGGGATATTGGACGCTTTTGGATGAAATCAAATGACTATAATACCCTTTTTACTGTTGACCTTTTACTTGGAAATAAGGATGTAATGGTGTTGACCGAGGGGTAGTTGCACGGAATGCGGTATTTGTTCGGCTGTGAGTTTAGCGTTGCTCAATGTTTCCTTCTGCCTATCTATCTTTGCTACAATTTTAGGAAGATAGAATGCATAATATCAACATGCCCCTGTAGTTTAAGTTATTGCTTATTCAACCCTTGTATTTTTGTGATTGCTTGTATTCGTTTTTTAGTCCCTTCATAGGAAACAGAATGGGCCAGTCAAACAAATTGGATAGTAGGTTGGAGTTGTCTAGTTCAACCGTGGTTGTGGAAGTGGCTGCAAAACATAAAATAGCTTCTCAAAGCATATCCTATACAAGAATGATACTTGCAATAAATATTTCACGAGCAACAATCAATTGGGTATGAAGTGTCTTTTTCTTTTTTAATTTGCATTTTGAACTTAGAATATTTTGAAGTCACAGTACTAAAAAGAAAGGGTTTATTGCAAGATAGGCTCTTCGATCTTATGTTTGGTCGGCAAACGGGCAGATTTTATTGGCTTGGTGGAAAGCAAAGTGAAGAATGGATCCATGTATGTTGGAGCGAATTGGATGATCGGGGCGAGGGCTGCCCTCTCACTCTCTTTTCCTTAATATGAACATTTAGTCATCAAATCCTTTCTGAGATCACGCAACCCAATCTCTTTAACAACGGCAAGCCGATCTCTTCAACAACGGCAAGGTGTTTTTTCATGATGTATGAAATAGACTCTTGAAAGCTATCGAAAGGAACAATAGAGTGCTTCTGAATTTACAGAGGTACCACACATGATTTTGGGGATATCATGCCGAAAAATTTATATTACACTGAAAATTTTCTCAAAAGTTTAAATTATGCCAAAAAAAATTGAGAGGTGCATCGGTTACCCCAGAAACCCTCTAGGTCTGCCCATATGTAGTATATATCTACTAACCATGAAATTGTAAATTTTGCAAATAGTGTATGATATATTCCTCGTATAGGGACTATGGGCTATCTAAAAATAGTCATTTGAAATTAAACGCGAACTATTTTCATAAAAATAGCATATTTTAAAAAATCAATTTGCAAGACAATTGTCTCAAACGGTCAAGTCCTTAAGATTAGAAATTGTTTAAGTTATAAAGACATATAAGGGTATAATAAATAATCATAGAAATATGGGAAGTAAACAGTCTAACATACATTTTAAATCTTAACTACAACATCATCTAAATATTCTAAAGCTAAAATTTATCTTCAGTCAACTATGCTTGGAAAGCATAGTGAGCATTATTGATGTCACCTCTTGTGGGTTTTGGATATGCTGGCAATCTAAACCAAAGTCAATCCCCTAAAATGTTTTAAAATATGAAAAGTATGGTAAATAATCATCATTTGGGAAAGACACATTTAACATATAGGCATCGGTAAACATCATCAAAATATCAAGATTAAATCAACAACTTCAAGGATGCAATGCATATGCTTCTAAATCCTAACCCAAGTCATCTCAACCCCAAAACACCAAACTAAAGTTGAATTATAAATAACATGTCTAAAGGTAGCACATAACACACATTACATATATGGACTCCAAACGCTAGAAACATGTGCTTATTACACATGAACCACATGATAGGTAGTTAGCCTCACGTACAAGTAGGGCTTATTTAGAATATTGGTACATCACAATAACATGGATACTCGAGTCATAAATTGTCACGTGAGTCATATCTCATTCTAAGTGGATGCATAAATTCATGACCAAAATCTGATTTCAAAACGAAGTTGTTTGTCCCCATTTTCGAAATTATTTACAAATACATTTCTTAAATGTACACATATATCATATAGTATCTCTAGTAGTAAAAGCACATAGAAAAATCAAATCAAGGTTCTTTTCAAAGTACAATAGAGACATGTATTCTTAGGTAATAATCTCACCAAAAATGTTGCAAGTACACTACTTCATTTCTAGTGTCGTTTGGATGTATATTAGTTACCTAATATCAAATAAATTGAGGAATTATTTACTAATTACTTTTTGTAAACATAAACGAAAGTATATAAACCTAAATTGCTCATTTTCCATCATCCATAAGCTTATAAAAGGCAATGGATGCAACAAAAAGTGAAAATGGGTCAAAAGAATTATGTGCAAGCAAAGGTTTACTTGGTCGAGTATAATCACTATATGGTTCTACTATTAGAAATGCCTCATAGCACAAAACGAGTTTAAACCTCCAACAAGCTTTCATAGCTTGAACATTTTGATTTAAAGACCCTTAATGCCACTCTAAGGGCTTATGATGATTAATTTGAGTTCAACGATTTGTTCTAACACTAAACTAAAACATGATTATGTAACGTCCTAAATTTTCAAATAAAATTTTTGTTTTTAAAATATGATTAAACATCCAAACCCCATCTTTTGAATAAATAACATAACAACCATTTGTTTAAAAATCATAAATCATAATGTTAAACTAGAGTTGAATCATAAACACGAGCAGAAGTCTCAAAATAGTAACATAACATCGATGTGAGTGTACAGTCACGTCGCGCCCTTCCCTTCTACACCTGAACAACCTAAAATGCATTTAACGTTAAAACTTAAGCATATGCTTAGTAACATCCCCATTATACAAAATATTTCACCGCATATACAATACATAAAACATTAATCCCACGATATCATCATGCATACCAACTATAGGCTCCCAACCATCATACAATTGTAGGCTCTCAACCATCAAACAAACTATAGGCTCTTAGCCATCATACAAACTATAGGCTCGCAGCCATCATACAAACTTCAGGCTCTTAGCTATCATGCAAACGAAGGCATAAGATCACATCATACAACCTACTAAACATCATAATAAAAGACTACTCTAGTCTATCAGACATATGTATAGTAACAGTACACAAACATCCTACCACACATTGGACATATAATGTCACATATAGTATAGTTAGAAAACTCACTTGAAACTAGCAGCTAAAATCTGAAAGCAATATCTACAAACGAAATGGCTATCACGAACCACCTAATTCTAATAAAAGTCCAAACCTCAGTCTAATACTCATATCTTTCCAAGTTTGACCAAAAGTCAATGTGGTCAAAAATTCAATGGTTAACGGGTCAACTATAAGAACCTGAAATTTAGAAAGATTTGACTTTTAGTCAAATATTGACCAAATAGCAGAATGGTCAATTATGAAAAAGATATGAGATTATGAAGTTGTGACTTCATAAAAATGGCCAATAATACTTTAAGTCACTTAGAAGATGTTAGATGAGTAAGTTCAAGAGAAATAATACATGAGAATATGCATTTTGGTAAAAATGGTAAAATGGGAATTTTATGCTTTTTGGGACAACTTTGTGACTTAACAGATTAAGACATGTATTAAGTTAGTGAGATATAACTTAACATAGTTATAAAGCATGTTCTCACCTTCACTTGGATACAAAGAACATCAAAAATGGATTAGTAATGAAGAAGTTATGAAGGATTGAAGATTGAAGAAAAAATGTCCCAAGGCTAGAGTGAAATAAACTAAGGATTGATGTCAAACCGGCACCACAATACGGTGGATGAATATCCATGGCACGACGAGTCTTATCCATAAGAAATAATGGCAACACACTTTTCCCCAAACCGCAGTGTATGGGTGCCATGGTGTGGTGGCCAAAGTATAGTGCCCTTGAGAAAGTGTATCACAGTGTGGCAAGAAGATGGTCACGACGTGGCAAGTAGATGATTGCCTTTGGCCTCAAGTCAAATAGTCATCGTGATGAGGTGAACATGTAACTGCGACGCGGTTACGCATCAGATTTAAAGGTCGTTACCTTTCATTTTTGTAACATCCCAAAAATCACGGTAAAATTTTCATTTTTTCAAAGCAACCCAAAACCATAAATGTTTACAAACATAGTTTCCAAAGTGTCAGTAGTCACAAATCAGAGCATCCCAAAATCAAATCCCATAAAAACTGAAGGATGTGCATGTAACGTCCCAAATTTTAAGACCAAAAAATTTTGTTTTTATAATAACTCAGCCATCATCCAAAACATTTTCATAAAAACCATAAATAAATCAGAATATGTTAAAATCATCCAGTTACATCAGAGTCAAATAAAATGCAAAACAATCATGGTGTGTGCGATGTGATCACCCCGAGCTCTTCCATTTCGATCTGGAAGTACCTGAAACATAAACTGAAAACCGTAAGCACGAAGCTTAGTGAGTTCCACCAAAATACCACATACCATGCATATCAAACACATAATGGGCCCCGCCCGGCATCGAGCCCTGCTCAGAACAGATCTGTCAGTAATAATGGGCCCCGTCCGGCATCGGGCCCCACCAGGTATATGTACAAACACATAAACACATGCAAGAATCACAAAGATAAATAACATACAAGATAATCATCAGGCCTCGCCTGGCATCGGGTCCCGCCCGGTATACATAACATATATCACACATGCAGAGTCACGCAGACAAATAGCACCCTAATCATAATAAACCATGGGCCGGCATTGGTACCTTCGACCCGCCGAACACAGTAAGGAAACTCACCTCAAGCTGCTGAATATCTCGGATAAAAGCTCGGACTGTTGATTCGGAAAAATCCTCGCGCTAACATCATCAATAATACCTAATTAATAATTGGGTCTTAACCCATAATCAATAATCTAGATCACTTGTCCAACATCCATGGTAAAAGACCATTTTACCCTTTTTCCTACTTGGCCTGAACCAAGGCCCAACCCATTTGCTCCCAAAATCCCAAATTCCTAAATGGCACCCAAATCTGATATGGCGCAATCTAAGAAGGCCCAATGTCCAATAATAGCTCAAATTCCAAAAATTCCCCATAGAAGTTAAGGGGCCAAGCCCAATCGAAACA